TGTGTGTGAGCGAGTGTGTGTGTGAGCGAGTGTGTGTGTGAGCGAGTGTGTGTGTGAGCGAGCGAGTGTGTGAGCGAGCGAGTGTGTGTGTGTGAGCGAGCGAGTGTGTGTGTGTGAGCGAGAGCGAACGAGTGTGTGTGTGTGTGAGCGAGGGCGAACGAGTGTGTGTGTGAGCGAGAGCGAACGAGTGTGTGTGTGTGAGCGAGAGCGAACGAGTGTGTGTGTGTGTGTGTGTGCGAGAGCGAGCGAGCGTGTGTGTATGAGCGAGAACGAGCGAGCGTGTGTGTGTGTGTGTGTATGTGAGCGAGAGCGAGCGAGCGTGTGTGTGGCGAGAGTTTGTGAGTGAGCGGATGTGTAAGTGAGCTTGCATGTGAGAGTGAGCGTGTGTGAGCGGCCGAGTGTGTGTGTGTGTGTGAAATGAACGAATACACGAGAGAAAGAGAGCGTGAGTGAGTGTGTGAGAATGAGCGTGAGCGTGTAAATGAGTGATTGTAAGTGCAGATGGGAGAGATATTATTTACGGTAGGGGGAAAATCAGTTCTAATCTAACTCATGCATACATTTTATTATGAAGGAAAAATACAAAAATCTTATGCATTTCTACTTTCACAATTCAAAAACCAACAATGAATTACAGACAAGCAATATACTACAACGAATACAACTTGAAACTACTTTTAATTGTTTGTATATGTGAAATTTAAATGCAAAAAATTGGGAGAAAATATTTTGAAGTGGGTCCGAATGAAGTGTAGAATTTTTGTTTATGATAAGTCATGAGTATTTTTTGAAGTTTTAAGTAATAGACGAAGGAATATGTTGTGTATCAATTCCTTATAAGATGGAGCAACCTTAATAATGTTACCAACAATATTATTTCTCCAGCAATAAATAGAATATCATCAAAATAGTTATCTGGCCCTAAGGAATGAATACTAAGGGAATCGGGAAGCCCTCCACCTGCTCTTATTCCTTTACACTGAAATAGATCAAGTAACTGAATCCTGAATCACACAAAAAACATGCATGCAAATCGTCTCCTTGGCATTCCAATCAGAACTTTAATTTGCAAAAGTTCTAGAGTGCAGAATATGCAAGCTGCTGGATAAGGGCATACACACTATCAGTGCCTTGGGCACCGAGCATAATTAAGAAAATAGTGAAAAGGAAAAATACATGTCATCTGCTACTCACATTGAGTATTCATAATAGCATTTCTAGTAAATTACACAATTTAAAGTAACTGCAATATACAATACCATATCTCAATATGGGATTTTAACAACATTAATCTATTTTCTAGCCCACTACTTTATTACTTCATTATTACTTAAGTCATTTTCATTAGTTAACCACTCAGTAAAACAAATAGTTTAATAAATTATATCACAAATTTCTGAGCATGAGCATTTCATGTGTACAAACAATATAAAGTTTCTTCCCCTCATTTTTTTTAAATTCAACTTCTTATAATGCTATTTTCTCAAATTTCTTAAATTTACTTAATCAATTCAGAAAAATTGTTTTTATTCCACACATCTAGAGAACACATACAACAATTATGTTTAGAAAATAAAGTAAATCTAGTTCAAAATCAAATTTTGTTTTAGTGTGCAAGAAATCAATGGCTCAATACAATGAATACCACCATCTTCAAAAGAAAGACTGGTTAAATAATTAATATTCGCATAGACATAACTTACAGTTGGTTTTTGTCCATCATACAGGTCATATGCTAGACCTATTAAGCGCAGTGTTAGCACACACTGTGGCATACTCCATTTTATATCGTAAGTTTCTGTGCCAGTATAATAATAACCTGAAACAATATTTTCCTAAGTGCTGTACATTTCAAAATATGAAACAAAATAAAAACAGTAAAATATATTTTTTAAATTAGAAGCTATTTCTGAGTAACCTCCACTTTCATAACAGAAAAAAATGAATGTTGTGAAGTTAAAAAAAGTATATTTTTTTAATGCATCGATAAAAGACAAATTACGTGTAAAGATACTAAAGATAATATAAGAGTGTTAAAATAATTCTACAATCTTCAGATGAAATTTGTCAAACTGTAAAATCTCCTAAGATGACTATCGTATCAGAGATTTGAAATTTCGAAATGGTCCAAAACAATTGAAATTAGAACATGTGCATGATGCTTCAGGAAAAAAGAAAGAAAAAAAGTAGAAAATATGTAATGGGGATCAAGAAACGCAGTGTTCATTAATAAACCCGGGTCAAAGAGCCCGGGGCTCAGTGCTGGGCTGCGACAAAAACGCGCCTGAACGTGGTCGGGAAATGAATGCATACTCTTGTTCGAGTGGCCACTGTTCCTGTTCTAGGCCGAGAGATAATGCAGAACTTAACGAAAATCACAGTAGGTCGTCAAAGGGGGCTACAACGCCAGAGAAGGGGTGGAAAACTGATGGAAAACTAATGATTTCAGCGTTACACTATTTATTATTCAAACAATCTATTATTCCCTCATTAAGAATGTAGTAGAATAGTAGACACCCGCACGACTCGACACATCGGTATACTGACCTTGCAGGAAGAAAAAATGTGTTTTTGACACAGCCTGGCGCCGTAACTTTAACAGTATAGGGTGCAAAAGTAAAAAAGGCGTGATTAAAAATGAAACAAAAGCACCTTCACACAACATAATTACTTTTTTTTAACAAGCCTGATTATAATTTCAAGATTAGTATTGAAGGTTCTGTAAACTGATGCAGGAACATGAACTCTGTAACTGAACATTAAAGTATCGGTTTCAAATTCATGAGAGCGCGGCATTAGCCAAATAGATTGCGGAATATTAATTTTGGAAAAAATCGGGTAAACTGTAACAAAATGTTAAGGTCATTCAATTCAGTCAAACCTTAAATGGAACGTCCATTTAAATAAATTGAACACTAAATTAAGTTCTTTACGCTACGCTTTCAGAATCCTTTCAAATTCAATCAGTCGATACTGCTCGTTGTGTATATTTCGCGAATGTTCATTCCCGTCTGAGATATGGAATAATATTCTGGGGAAATACATCTTATGGCTCACAGACTTTTGGACTACCAAAAAGAATAGTTCAAATAATAAGCAAATTCATCCACGTGATTCTTGTAGGCATCTCTTTAATAATCTAGGAAATTTATTATTACCTTGTCTCTTGATACATGAATCAGTGGTTTTCGTCAAAAATGACATTTAAGGGCGAGGATATATTTGCAGCCAACACCGATGTCTATAACCACAACACTCGACGTAGTAATTACATTCATCAGGTGACAGTATCAACAGCTCAATACAAAAAAATCACATACAATACATGTACGCTATTTTACACCACCTTGCCAGATGACATTAAACCATTAAATTCGATACAAAAGTTTAAGACGCAAGTAAAATCTTTTACTTGCGACTTTATCTGCTGCACAACTGTTTCTATACAATTAGAGACTATACCGAGCATCCAAACGGAAAGTAATATTAATTTTAACATTGACATTTAATGTTTTATTTACCATTTGGATTGAACAATTCTAGAGAACTTGTAACAAGTATTGCACTTCAGCTTCTGGGCCAATGACCCCCAACTCGTTCAGGTTTCAGTCCAGTTTCCCTGATCCTCGAGCAAATGCTGAGATGGCCCCTTGTTTTGCTTACGGACATAAATATAACTTCAAATTTATGTTCCCTATAGCACGTCACACAGAGTTTTTAACTGTTTTTGACATAAATAAATAAATGGTTTAACCGCTAGCGTTGCTCACAGACGGTCATACGGACGTTTTGCAGTTATTCAGTTTTTCGATATCAAGGACCCACCAAACATGGATTCTGGCTACCCCACAACTCCACGTAATAGAGTTTTTTTTCTAAAATTGGCAACTGGATTTACCCAATTTTTCGTTTCCACAGCCCTGTAATAGATTTTCTGACGAAAATTCGCCCTTTTCCCCGCAGCATTACATAACTTTCGCGAGAAAGAAAATTAGAAGAAATTAGGTAACAATTAGATGTGGAAAATCTCAGACGATTGCAAGCAAGTATGCGAAAATGGAAAGATATTAAAATATGACAAATAATACGAAAATTCATGGAAAAATATGACCATCATATGAAAAATTAACGGAAAATGATCAGTGTTTAAAAGAAGCCAAAATATGACTATATGACACGTGAACATTGCATAATTTTAGCCATTGTAGATAATATACTGCTTATCTTACAATTTCCACGGAAATAAAGCAAAGAAAAAATATGACATGTCAAACATCAGGGCCCTACTTAAAGTGCTCGTTAACGGTTGAGTCGAAGAATTAGAGAAAATTATAGAATCTTGGATGGATTGGTTTCGTGCGCGTCAACTGACATTACTCCTGAAAGTGCAGAGCGCGCTTTGGTCGCGGGAGGTGGTAGTTATCTACACCTGTCGGCTGGTGAGATCCGACGGCGACCCCAGGCTTGCTGGATTTTCTCAACCAGTATCTCCCGCCAGCGAGGTACCGCCCCAGCCGGGACAAGCCCCGACTGGTCTACCGATGTGTAATAGTGTAGTACATGTGTGTTTCAGTTAGGATACTCCTCGAGCATTCGCCTGTTGATCGGAGAAACCGCGGAAAACTACCGATCAGAACGGCCAGCCGCTGGAATTCGCCCCCCAGACAGCGGCTGACATCGACCTAGCTATTGACGGAAATCCTGTCACCGTCGAGACTAGAACTGTAGGACCTCCTGGCGCAGAGGCACGGCAATGCATCTGTTGATGCTCTGAGACTCTTCAGCCGGTGTAGAATATTTGAGAAATAATATTCATCAGTGCTTCTTAATAAATTGAAATGATTTTATTGAAATCCATCGACCAGAATGTGAATCAAGTAATAATGGTAATACATGATTTTTTTCCCAAAAACCATGAAAAATTAGTAGTCTATTCCACTCTTGCAATAAATCGCGTATAAACTATAACAATCTCTTTGATCTTAACACTTTTTTGTTATTTTCTATACTTGGCGAATTTTGGACCTCAGTTGAACGTAATTCCTTGAATTGTCTTATTAAATACAACTCGTGCTTTGGGACTTCTCCTCGCTTCGCGGGTCGGAGACTTATCGACAATTGCCAAAGCACTCGTGGTATTACCTATGATAACATGAATATAAGATCGTCATTTTAAAAAATCTTCAATTGTCTTCCGAGTTGGCCCAGCAGTCCCTCCGTTCATACAGAAACTTTTCGTGTTTGTAAAAAAATAAATTACATATATAAATGTAATTTTGTACGACTGGTGTTTCAAGTCCAACGGCGCGTAAAATTTTAGTTCATGCAGCGGATGTTATCGGCCAATTCTCTAAAGAGCCCAAGTGATCAGACATACAATGCCTCAAACTGCGAGTAGAGCATGCATGAAGTCTTTAAAAATAAAAACATATTATACTTGCATTTATTTCACCGTACGTTTGAAGTAAATCAGATGCTGACGGTATCGTCCAATCGGGGACTTGAACGTTGCCATAGTCACGTCACTGTTGCGACATGTAAGCTCACGATTAGATGAAACCGTCAACAGCTGATATCTGCCAGACGCACGACTAAATGACTCATATTTATAGGGATCATGGCTGCCACTTTCGAACTCAAAGGCGATTGGGAAACGAACAGTTGGAGCGTATAGGCAATCGGCCTGTCGTTTCATGTTCCAATTATTGGTCATCATCAGGAGCCGTAAAATGGGAATTTTTGGGCAACCTTCAGTACGTTCGTTCTACACTCAGCAAATGAGTTTTCAAAGATCTTCACGAAGTATATTATTCATTTTAATGATTCCTAAAACTATTCGCTATTACCGCTAATTCGTTGCGTTATTGCTTGCTAGTTTCGGCCCACTGTTTGCAATTCACTGTGCGAATATAATAAAGAAGGGTAAAAACAACAGTATATGAATTATTTGTCGCGTTTTATGCCAAAGAACCATTAAAAAACAATTATTTTTTAGTGGTAACCAACCACGGATCTAAATTGACATGCGTGATGACGATTGACGGAAATTGCTCGATTACAAATTTGTAGAAATAAAAGAATCCACGAACAATTAATGAACTTCAACTGTTGAAATTTATGTGTATATCATACAAATGCATATCATCTTGGAATATAATTCATTTACTAAAAAAAGTTACCTACATTAACGTAGACCGGTTAAAAGCAGCTTGTTGTATTTCATAGGAATGAAGAAATTCAGAATAAAAATTAATTTTGCAATATTTTCGACAGTAGACTACACTAATTCACTCCACAGACATCCAAGATATCTCGTCTAAGAAAATAATAAAAGAAGACCCATTAAAGTTGTTACTCGATATTTCTAATTCATAGACGTATAGTATTATGTATACATTATCTAACCGTACATTTCTACAAAACATGGAAATGCATAATCGAGAACTATGAGAATCTACTGCACCTCCAATTTTAACACATGTTTATCTTCTCGTAAAGTATTGTAGTGCGGCGTCTGAAATCGGCAATTTATCGAAATAAAAACTCGAATTGTGGGGCACTAGCAACGAAAAAGTGAATAAATATTGTTCGTATAAATTGTAAATCACCTTATACGAGTATAACTTGTTGCGAAGTCAGAATCACCGTTTTGTGAGTCCTTGATGCCGAAAAATCGATTGACGGCAAACGTCCGTCGGTGGTCAACGCTAGCGCACACACCGTTGAGATAATTTTCTCCAAAATTGATGTTCTCCGATCGATTGGAAGAGAGTTTGAAACAGATATTTTGATTTTGGGGAGAACTTTACTTGAAGTCTC